GCGATGACTTCAGAGAGCGCTCAACACATCCAACAGTGATGTCAACAAAAAACATGTGATTTTGTGCTCAGATTTAAACCTCGGATTTGAATCATGTTTTCATTGAATGTATTCAACAAATGGTTTGCAAACAAGTGTTCAAACAATTGGAGACATATTTTGAGGGCAAATGTGAGCCAAAGTTGCGGTCATTTGGATGCAAATGAATTGAACACTGATTTGCAATTCAATCGCTTCCAGTGTTTGGCCACTAATAAGAGGATTGAATCCAAGATTAAGATTATTTTGAATGAATTGAAAGTATATCGTAATAGCGATCAATACAAGCACTTAATGCCATCCAAACTAAGTGTCCATCAAATGAGACAACTCTTGGATTGCAGTGAAAGTGAGAGACGAAGAAGAATTTGGATCGACTTAAGCCCTCAAAGGAGAAGACATTTGTTGTCTTTGATGACCAGATTGGAGACCAACGACGGTCTCAACCAATTGACTGAGCCTTTCATGCCATACCAGGTCTGTCACGAGTCAGTTGATCCGCTCATAAGATTCACATTTCAAGTCATGTCTCAATTGTCTCATAGTTTGAGAAGTTTTATACGAATGGTCTGAAGAATGCGTGTCTTTTTGGACAGAATCTCGTTTTCGACATATCCTTCGACAGCCATATGTCGACACTTGAGTGCAAGAACTTAGCGGAACAGTTGCACCGAATCTATGATCACAATCGATATGAATCCAGAGGAATGGCATTTCATTTGAATTTATGTAATGTTAATGAGAGTCACAAAAGCATTCAATTTCTACGCTTTCTGTACCCAACGATGGTGTCCAACGAGTCTTATCTCAACATTACGTCCCAATCGTACTTAGATTTGTTCCCAAAGGAGGACCTCATATACCTCTCCCCTCACGCCCAGCAAGTGATGACTGAATACGAGTCCAACGCTGTCTTCATAATCGGAGGCATTGTCGACAGAAATCAAGTCTTAGATCTCTCTTATCCCAAAGCAATGCAACAAAATATACGATCAATGCGTTTACCCATCGACTCATTGGTCTCCAAAAGCAATATTCAATCACTGGATTCAGTGTTCAAAGTTTTGGTTGACTTGAAAAATTGTGGGCTTCTTGGAGACAATTATATGGACAACCGTTTAGAGACAACAGTACGCAAACATTTACCCAAACATAAACTCAAATCTGTTAATCAAATTGCTTTTGAAAATATGAAGAAACAAGAAATCGACGACATTTTTGATGATTTTTATGATTCTTACCAAGAATTTGATGAAAATATTGATATAAATTGCAAATAAAGTTTAAATTATTTTATAATTCTTATAATTAATACTTTTAACATTTATTTAATTTAATGATTCATGCATTGGATACCGTACTTTAGAAATATTTTGCATTATTATCTGTTTAGTAATACACAAAGTTTTGTATTACTGTTACTGCGATAACGTAATAATACTGTACCGTATGCTATGCTTCCAATGCAATGCACTTTATGTGCACTTTAGTGCCATCGGTTTTGTCAGGTTATTGAAAACTAAACCATATAATATTGTTATCTTTTATGTCATATTGTTATATCATTGTCATATCATTGGAAATATTTTTGTCAAAGGTCAATTATAGTCTATACAATAATAACATAATAATAAATTCTTTTAGTGATAAATCCAATTATGATTACACGACTTCAATCTGTTAGGGATTTCCTTTTGAATATCTGAAAAATATGAAAAATTAAATGCAGTGGATATCAAATATTTATTGAATAGAAAATAGTTATTTATGCTAATGATTTGAAATTGAAAAGGATAAGTTGTCACAAGTTGTCAAAAAAATGAATAAATGATCTTGAATGTATTATTAAGATGTGTTTTGACTATTTCATAATAAGATGATTTGAAGCCTTTTATATGAAATATTTTTATAGATTACCATAAAATTTATAACACAATTACAAACATTGAAGAGATTGACTTCAATGATATATTATACTAAACTCTGCATATAAATAATTTTGTCACGATTTTCGTATTGATATCAATTTTACAATACATCCATGACTGGCATTCATTCATATAATTAATATTAAAATTTACAGAATTAATTGTGGTAATGCAAATTTAGTGCCAATTAGTGACAGAATGTGACATCCTTTTACAAATAACTTCATAAATATGGTAAATGAACTCAAAAATGAACTTTTATTCAATATTCGAACTTTTTTTGCGGACATAATGTGTTTATCAATCAATTTATATAATTAACAGTTAA